TTTTTTTTTTTTGGTGGAAGTGATTGCCTGGCAAGTGCAAGGGCCTTCATTCAATCCCCAGTTCTGCAAAAAAAAAAGAATTCATATGTGCTGAGGTCATGCCGCGAGGAACACGAACATTTTATTCATGGTCTCTCACCTTTGTTTACAACAAAACATTTTTTCATATACAAATACCCGATAGCATAACTTTACATTGAGTTGTGAGATTTGTAAAGAGTGGGAGAAACATCTATCTAAATTCCAGAAATTGGGCTGGGGAGATGGCTCAGTAGAATAAGCGCTTCCCTGGCAAGCACATTGGCCTGAGTTCAATCCCAGGTTCGGCCCCCTCCCCCAAAAAATAAAAAATAAATAAATAAATTCCAGAAATTTTTATATACAAATCTGAAAATCCTGACATTTCACGGCTAAGTAGCAGATTTAGTTTATAGTTTTATGAGATCTCAAGGGGCTCCTATTTGATTTCTCATTTTTATCTTTTGTCTTTATTTTTTCTTTTAATTTTGGTGAGAGAACAAAGTGAATATAACCCAATAAAGGCTTTTTAATAACAAAAATCAAAAATCAAAAATGACAGAGACAGGTCAGATGTAGTGCATATGCCTGTAATCCCAACACTGGAGAGGCTCAAACAGAAGGATCACTTCGAGTTCAAGACAAGCCTGGGCTACGAAGTGGGATTACAGGAGTGCACCACTATGTCCATCTTGACCCTGTCTTTTATTTATTTATTTATTTTTATGGAGAAAAAAATATGTATTGAGAACTAGCCAACTGGACTTTTTTTTTTTTTTTTTTTTAGTATTTTAGCGAAGGGTCTACAGGGTGTTCCTGGTCTCACTACTAGATCGAACTCGTAGTGATCCGTCTGTTTGCAGCCTCCCAAGAGTTGGGATTAGGGGTACACTCCACCACACCCAGTCTCCATTGCTATCTCAGTGTGGCCCTGGGGCAGGGCCAGCATGGCAGGCCTTGGGATTGAACCCCTGGCCCCTGTGCCTGCTTGTAGGCACTTTAATCCTCTGAGCTTTTTGGCTGGCCATTTATTTATTTATTTATTTTTGGCTGGCCCTTTAAGGAAGCAGTTTTTGTTTTTGTTTTTTGTAGAACCAGGGATTGAACTCAGGGGACTGAACTCAGGCCTTTACACTTGCCAGGGAAGTGCTTATTCCACTGAGCCATCTCCCCAGCCCCCCAAAAGAAGCATTTTTTATAGTGTTTGAAAAAGCTAAGTCAAAAGAAAAAAAAAGAGGGAGAGCTGGGGAAATAGCTCAGTAGAATAAGTGCTTGCCTGTGAAGCACAATGGCCTGAGTTCAATTAAAAAAGAAAAAGAAGAAGAGGGGCTATGGAGTAGCTCATCATGCAGCGGATCACTACTAGTCTGAGTTGCATAGTGAGACCTTATACCAAATACATACAATTAAATAATAAAGAATAAAGAATGACGGGCCAGGAATGACGGGCCAGGGCAATAGCTCAGTAGAATAAGTGCTTGCCTGTGAAGCACAATGGCCTGAGTTCAATTAAAAAAGAAAAAGAAGAAGAGGGGCTATGGAGTAGCTCATCATGCAGCGGATCACTACTAGTCTGAGTTGCATAGTGAGACCTTATACCAAATACATACAATTAAATAATAAAGAATAAAGAATGACGGGCCAGGAATGACGGGCCAGGGCAATAGCTCAGTAGAATAAACGCTTGCCTGGCAAATGCAAGGTCCTGAGTTCAATCCCCGGTACAAAAAAAAAAGACAAAAGAAAAAGATGAGAACATATGCCTAAATTCATTTGGTTTTAATTTTTTTTTTTTTCCTCTCGGAACCTGGAATTGAGCTCAGGCCCTTGCACTTGTAGGGAAGCACTTATTCTACTGAGCCATCTCCCTGGACTCTAATCTGTTTTTTGTTTTGTTATTCCTTTCCCTTTCTTTGTTTCTCTCTTTCTTTGTTGTTGTTTTTTTCTTTCTTTGTTTTTTGACACAGAGTCTCACTATAAAGTTCAGGCTGGCCTCGAACTCACTACATAGCCCAGGCTGGCCCCTCAGAGCCTCAGAGCAATCGTCCTGAGTGCTGAGTTCACAGAGTTGTGCCACCACATCCAGCCTGGCTTTTATTACTTTTTTTTTTTTTTTTTTTTTTTTTTTGGCGGAACTGGGGATTGAACTCAGACCCTTGCGCTTGCCGGGAAGCGTCCATTCCCTTGAGCCATCTCCCCAGCCCTTTTTACTACTTTTATATATTTATTTCTTTTATATTTGCAGGACTGAGGATTGAACCCAGGGCCTACCGCTTTCCAGGTATGTGCTCTACCACTGAGCTCCATCTCCAGCCATAAGTCTAAAACTTATCTGGGCTGGGAGAGCAACTCGGTGGTAGAATGCTTGCCTAGCACGCACAAGGCCCTGAGTTCATATGCCAGTACCACAACAACAACAACAAAAAACCTTACTCTTTCGTTCCAGATGTGTTGTCACATGCCTATAATCCTAGCATTCAGCAGGCTGAGACAGGGGGATTGAGCCAGCTTGGGCTGTGTAGTTAAGTTCAAGGCCAGCCTAAACTACATAATGAGACTCTATCTCAAAAAAGTATAAAAAAGAGAGATGGAAAGCAAGATGGCCAAGTGTAACATTTGGATTCAGCGCTTATTGGGGTCTGTGCCTTTATTTTCTTTTTTCCTTTTTTTTTTTTTTTGGTGGAACCGGGGATTGAACTCAGGTCCTTGTGCTTGCCAGGGAAGCACTTATTCCGCTGAGCCATCTCCCCAGCCCTATTTTCTTTTTTTTTTTGTGTGTGTGTGTGTGTGTGTTTATTTTCTTACATCATAGAATTAGAGCAACAGCTAAAGGTCAACATAAGAAGGATGGGCTGAGGAGCTAGTTTTTTCCCTTCCTCTTTCCAGCCACATCACCATCCTAACTCCCCTCGAGATCCTAGCGCTGGGGAGGCCGAGGCAGAAGGACTGCAGTGAGCTGCACAGCTAGACCCCGTGCCCAGGAGCCCCCAGCTCCTCCCCAAAGACCCCACAGCACCGTTTTGTTTGCTAACCCCCATAAGCCTTTGTGAGTATACTTCCCAGCCCTGGGGCAGAACAGCATGAGCAGGAGGAAGTGGCCTCCCCGGGGTTGGAGCCCTGGAGGCAGGGTGCTGGCCAGGCAGCTGGGCTGGGTGGGACCCAGGCCTGGAACAATGGCCTTGCTCAGGGCCCGAGCTGCTGCTTTGTTTCTCTTTTTTCTTTTTCTTTTTTTTTTTTTGGCAGAACCGGGGATTGAACTCAGATCCTTGCATTTGCCAGTCAAGCGAGCTGCTTTGTTTCTTTCTTTCTTTTGCTGTTTTTTTTGTTTTTTTTTTTTGTTTTTTTCTCCTTGCGCCAGGGCTGCTTTTGACATTCAGGTCTTTCTCTGCTCTCTGAGCCTCCTACTGGAACTCCTTGCAGTACAAATATTAACTCTGTTTGAATGCTTGAAGCCTTCAGGAAAGATGAGCCAGACCCGAGCTGAGCCTCGGACCAAGCAGAGGGCTTTGTCTTTTGCTGTTGACAGACTTGGGCACAGTTCCCCAGCTGTGCGAATCTCAGTATGTTACCTCGTGGAACCAATTCATTAAACAAATAAACAGTGATTTTTATCCCTACGACCAAGAACTATATTGCAGAACAGTACTTCTAGAGTTTAAGGATCAATCTTTTTTGGTACCAAAAATTGAACCCAGGGTTTCACCAATATCCTCACTTGATTTCATCTTATTTAATAGTAGTACTAGTAGGGCCGGGGAGATAGCTCAGTAGAATAAGGGCTTGCCTGGCACGTCCAAGGGCCTGAGTTCAATCCCTGGTTCCACAAAAAAAAAAAAAAAAAAAAAAAGTACTACTAGTAAGTAGTAATAGTAGTAGTAGTAGTCGTAGTAGTCGTGGTATTGCTGGGGATGTAGCTCAGAGGCACAAGTGCCTTCCTGGCCAGCGCAAGGTCATGAGTTCATCACTGGTTCAAAATAATAATAATAATAATAATAATAATAATAATAATAATTAATAATAATAAATATTCTTTGCCTTTTTTTTGGGCAAAGACCACAAATCACTTTATTCAAATTAGTAACATCAAAACAGCTAGCTTATGGAGGCCACACATGTCCCAAGTGTAGTCCACCTGTGTGGTGGGAACACCTTCTTCTGTGGCCGTGCTGAAGCTACAGGGAGTTTGGCAGAACCAGGGAGTTTGGCAGAACCAGGGAGTTTGGCAGAACCAGGGATGGAACTCAGGCTCTTGCCCTTGCCAGGGAAGCGTTTATTCCACTGAGCCATCTCCCCGGCCCCTACAATTCTTGTATTAGTAACATTTATGCTAAGGTAATTTGGTCGGTGGGCTTTCCAGTTCTTCAGGGTCCGCCTCCTGCTTAGAGGGGGCCGTTTGTCCTCCTGCACTGCCTCAGCCCTTCGTTGAAACCTTCGCAGAGCTTCACATCAGGCTGGTTCTGCGCAAACTCCAGAAACTGCTTGATCTCCAAGTAGCAGGGAGCCCCGGTCTCCTGCTGCTGCAGCTGAGCCCCCTGAAGCTCCTGATGAGTGATGTCGGGCTTAGTGGACTGCCGCTGCCTCTGCCACTGAAGCCACCAGTGATGGTGTGGCCCAGAGTGTGCCCCACGGCAGAGCCCACAG